TCTCCTGCAATAATTATGTTTTTATTTGACAGCTTGCTTAAGGCGCCTTCTAACATCTTTAAGAATACAGAGTGATCCTCTTTTTCAGAAACTATAATGGTGGGGGATCTATAAATTGAAATAACGTAGAGATTGTATTCAACAAAGTAACTGCAGGACACTTCACACTGCCTTTCAATAGACAATTCGTTAAGTGTACTGATAGCTTCAGCGTGTATGTCACGCTTAGCTAATATGCGACTACCTCCTTTTTCTGATGTTTTTCGTGCAAAACTTGAAACAACTTTGTATCCCGATATTCTTACAGCTTCTATTTCATCACTTGTTAAATGGTGCTGAGTTAGACAGACAATGGATATACCCGAGTCGTTAAGATAAGCTTCGAGTTCTTGGACCTTGTTTCTAACAGATTGTACATTCACATGAAACAGCTTAAGACTATTTGCACCAAAGTTACTGGCAGAAGTCGCAGATCGAGTTTGATCCAACTCCATATTAGAAGTAGATCTATGGACAGATCTTAGTTTGCTGGATTCTCCAACTTCTTTTTGAAGAATAAAAAACGACTCACACACGCACCTGTGGGCCATAAGTTAGCAACCATGGCTCTTTTGAAATTATGTTCATATATATGCACTTTAAATGAAGAATACATATCTGTATGTCTTGGCGTTATAGCTTCACACTTAATCTCAGGAAAGTGACTCTTTAACAGTGATGTGAGAGAATCCACAGTTGTGTCAGTACTTATACGATATACATGCGGTTGAGCTATCTTTGGAACACCCTTTACTTCTGTATCAGTTCTACTGCCAACGATAACATTACGCCTTCTTCGCCTATGTTCTACTTGTTTCCAATCACTCGCACCGTCATCAGGTCGATTAGCGGATAATGCTAGTTGTTGAGGGCCAATATTGGTGTTAAGCGATTCATTGTTATCCTTGGTAAGGTTGATTATCTTATTCAACTTTAGTTTCGTTTGTTCCTCCATTATGGCCGTAGCAACCGTCTGCACGGTAGTACCCTGTGTATTACTGGAGTTACGAGTCGAGGAATTATGTGAATCATCAGCGGACTTGTTTTTGTTTTTTGGAGGATCCTCGCAGATATTGGAATAACTACTTTTTGTTGCTACACTTTTTGCATCTTTCTGTTTATAGGAATTTTCCAACAATTTAATGTGTTCTTGTAGGAGGTCAATTTTATCATACAGCTCTTTGATTAACACATCCTTTTGTTTCACGACATAATTAAAAATACGAATATCTACCTTATTGTCAGTAGACTGCTGTTCAATAGCATCGAAAAAATGAGAATCACTTTCGGAACTGGAACGAATAACTCGGGCATCATTGCAGCATATTATTTTATCACCATCGATAACTGTTGCATTCTTTAAGTACTTAACACAACCAGAATGTGTCACTGAGTCACAATTGATACATTTTACACCACTTTGAGCATTAGATTTGCAGCGTTTGCACACTTTTTGTGGAGCGAGTAGATCACCCGACTTGCCTGCCGCCGCCATCTTAATTCATTAGTTTTATTTAAGCTTTAAATCAACAAATCTTCAAAACTACTGAACTGAAGTACATTAATTTTATATCATTATAAAGGGAATTTCTAAGACCTTTAAAATAAGGTGTCACTCGACCCCCCTTTCCATTTAAGATTTTGGGGGTGATGTCACCCCCGCTTAGGGGCTGCACCGTGCTAACGTGATTTTTTGCCAAACTTGTGTCCCCCTCGAAAACAAAATCGACGGGCCTGGGCGTTTTTCAAAAAAAAACTGAGCTGCCAGTAAATGCATGTGTTTCGTTTTCGATGCGCCACCCTGTATATACATATACAGGGTGACTTTGAAGTTGAGTCATCAATTTTCAGATAATGATTGTAGAAGGAAGATAAACCAAAATATGTGTGTAAAAATAAAAAAAAAATTAAGTATCCTCCCGACAAGTATTTCAGTGCGGACCTGTATTTGATCGTGAGGTCTTGGAGCACCGGCATGCCGTACCCAGTGAGGTCTTAAGTCACGTGATTCACGAGCCCGTTGTACTACATTAACAAAGGCACAAGGGGTTGGTTGCACTCAATTGGGAAACCGATCCGCATAAACATGTGCCATTTTTTATTTCGTTTGAGCCACGCAACAGACACCACTATTCACTCACGCGTTACCGACTGACACTGACTGTATACAACACAACTGAATAAAATAATTGTAAAAACATCGTTCCAAATTCTTTCGCTTTTTTGTTTCCGATGCGATGAACCGATAAGGCGGATTATATCCGTTGTTACCAAACACGAGCACATAATATTATTATTGAGACAGGGCGATACTCAAACTTCCAAAGGGCTATACCTTTGTTACTTTAATTTTACCAGAAAAATGGTAAAGGAAAAAAACATTTCTTTTGATCAGATCTACTCACTGTTAAAATAAATGACTCAACTTCGAATATATATATATATATATATATATATGAGCAGTAGCCTTTGCCAAAGCCAACGACCAGTTGGGCATAAAATACAATTAATTGTTGAATGCGAAATTTTCAAATTTTTTAGGCTTAAGTTGACTCTTTTGACGATAAAATCAAGCTTTCGGCATTCTCTATGGAGCCTTCATCAGGATTCTGAAAACACAATTGTGATGTTATCAAAGAAAACAGGACAGATTTAAATTGTCAGACAACTTACTCGTCGGTGAGGTTGCAGCCACAAGCTGTTTCAAAACGAACGTAGGGAAGATCGAACTTCTAATCAGTATAAAAACAAAAGAACGGGTACATTGGGCTTGTTGAAAAGCGACAAATACCTTCGTTACATGTTAAAAATATCATCAATTAAAAGTATTACACGTCGAAATGCAGTCTCTAAAAACGAAAAACAATGGTGCTGTTGTGCTTCGTACGAGGTATTGATATATATATATATATATATATATACAGGGTTATCCAAATTAAGTGTCCACCATTAGTAACTTTGTTATTAGTGAAAATACAAAGTTGTTTGAATTAGCAAACTAGTAGCATTTTTAACGCTGGTAAAAATGAGAAATAAAAAAACAATTGAGAGTCGTTATTTTGATTTTTTTCAGTAAAATAACATTTTTTTTAAATGGAAACCCCTGTATATTATATTTTTTTCTGTTAAAGCATCAAATTTTAAACAAAAAAGTTCATAATGACTTTTCCGCTAAAGTCAAAAATAAAGTCAAAATAACGATAAATATTTTTAATTATTTGCAGTATTATAATATTAAGACGGCTATGAAAACAACATGGCGTTCGCGATTTGACAGCATTAAGATAAGCGACAAATTGTTAAACTGGACATACTCGCAACTAGAAGGCTTTGGAAAACAATGATAAAATCAAATAATGTCAAACATTAGTGTAAATACTTGTTTATAAGCTTTATTGTGTCATTAATTTAAAGAAAAATGTTCTCCCATGAAGAAAAGTGTGATATGTTAGAATGCTATTTAGTGTGCAGAAAATTCTCCTTGAGAGCAATTATATCCCGCTCGCATTCAACCGTATGAACGATATTTTCTGAGACTTTATCGAAAATTTAGGGGCAACGAAAATGTTTTTGCTAAAACAAGGGCAAAAAAAGAATTCATAATAAGCGAGGCCACGGAAATTGCAGTTATTGGATATTTTGAAGCTTATCGTGAGAATTCAATAGCAGATATTCTCAAGGACTCTAATTTCAGTTATGGTACTGTTCAAAGGATTTTAAAAAAATACAAATTTATTCCGTATAAGTACCGACCAGTTCAAACGCTTTTGGCAGGGGATCCAGAGAGAAGACTTGTTTTTTGCCATTGGTATCTTAGCTTCTGTCGCCAAAATGTAAATAACCTTCGTTACCTTTTATGGACAGATGAATCAAATTTTTCAAATTCTGGAATGTTTAATAGAAAAAACCACCATTATTGGTCAAGAGAAAATGTTTTGTTAGTACATCCAAGAGGCCCACAAGTCCGTTTCAGTTTCAACGTTTGGTGCGGTATAATTGGTTCAAAAATTGTTGGCCCGTTCTTTTATAAGGGAACCCTAACTGGTGAAAGATATGTGGAATTTATGTCAGAAATTCTGACTAATTTCTTAGACGAATTGGATCTTATAAGTAGACATCATCTGCATTTTCAGCAAGATGGCGCACCTGCCCACAACTCCAGAGGTACTTATCATTTTCTAAGTACTACTTTTAATGATCAGTGGATAGGAACAAATGGCCCAATACAGTGGCCTCCCAGATCACCAGATCTAAACCCACTTGATTACTTCTTGTGGGGTTACTTAAAGAACCAAATTTACAAGCGAAGGTACGATAACCTTGACGCGTTAAAGACTGCAGTTAGGGAAAAGATAACCCAGATAGATGGTAGGACCATACTTAAGACAGTTCGAGCAGTTGAAAAACGTACCCAAAAATGTATTGAAGAACAAGGTGGTGTTTTCGAGCATCTTCTTTAAAAAAAATTGTTATTGTATTTTGTAAGATTATAAGTTAATGTTGAAAATAAAGTTTGTCGATACAATTTAATTGTTTCAGATTGGAGGCCATAACTTCAACAATTTGTAACCTAGGAGAAAAGTTATTGTAAGCTTTTTTGTTTAAAATTTGATGCTTTAACAGAAAAAAATATAATATACAGGGGTTTCCATTTAAAAAAATGTTATTTTACTGAAAAAAATCAAAATAACGACTCTCAATTGTTTTTTTTTATTTCTCATTTTTACCAGCGTTAAAAATGCTACTAGTTTGCTAATTCAAACAACTTTGTATTTTCACTAATAACAAAGTTACTAATGGTGGACACTTAATTTGGATAACCCTGTTATATATATATATATATATATATAAATATATAAATAATTAAAGCTTCCGCCTTTTGTTGGGTACTTCGACAAAATTTAAGCAAAGAGGACTCTTTATACTTTTTTTAATTCTCTCTAGCTTTCAATGGACTTTGCCATCATCATCAGGAGAGTAGTATGTGAGGATGTTGCTAATTGTTGTTTACGTTCAGGATGAGGGAAACATGAAAGCATTACATCGCGAAGCCACTTGATGATTGCACAAAATGGTGGCCCTTGTGCATATCCTCCAATTTTCTTTCCCAGATAAGTTAGTCAATTGCCTGTAACATTCTTGGTGGTACCCTTTTTCATGACAATTTCGAGGCAACTCAATTAGCGAGACATCCAGAGATCTTCGACGCTGTGATTGATTTTTTCTAATCTCTATCGCTTTTAACACTCCGCTACTCGCGTGGGGTATTTTGGACCCCGAGTTGCACTGATTTGCTCACCGTTTTGTGGTGTGGGAGTCAAGGTTGGAATAGCTTCTGCTAATCTTTCGTGGCAGTCTGCTTTCTGATATGTGCCATCTTGTACGTGCTTGCGTGCTATATTTACGAAGCTGCGTAATCACAAATAATTTCCGGGGTATTTTGGACCCCAGGCGACTAAATTTGTTTGGATAAATTATACTTGACTTTTTTTCAAATTGTTGTTTGGTAAGTAGACAAAGGTATTTACTTCAACAAATTTCGTTAAACGTAGTTTCTATATTTAGAATTCGTCAAAAATGGCCAGCCGTGACCCACAACAATGGCTTAAATGGTTAAAGGAAATCTAAGAAGAAGAAGAAAATAATTCATCAGACTCTGAAGAAAGCGATGATGAAAAAGATGTATTGGAATACGCCTCCCACCAACCTGTCACCGAGCAAGAAGCTGGAGATGAAGATAACCATGGGTAACACTGCAAATTTTCGCGTGTTGATACAATGACGCACACAGTGCTTACTGTATCAAAACAGTGTGTCAACACTATTGTGTTATGACACAGTATGTACGGTACGTGGGTACGGTGCCGAAACAAAAAATGCGCTTACTGTGGCAACACCGATCCAGTGCGATGTGCCGACTTTGACATTTATTAAAACACGGGTATGGCACGTTTTGGTATTCTAGGAATCACAAACGGTGACAAACGGCGAGGAATAGAGGGATTATTCAAATTCAAAGGCAATCAGTCAAGCGGCCGGAGCTCAATATTCAAAGAGAAGACTCGTTTCGTTATTAATTTATAGTTTTTTATGCCTCGCATATAGCTAGTAGGTAGGTATTATTTGTATTTTGCTACTTGAATTTTTATAATAATTATAGATTTCAAGAAGAAATTTGTATTGTATCGTAGAATAAATATTTTTATAATACTTCATATTATTATTATTGTTTTAATCATACTTTCTTTATTTTAGACTTACCTACCACGCCACGCAGTATTTGGTTAACATGAGTTCAAAAAAAAGCCAAGTTTGGACTCACTTTTCGGAGGAAACTGGGAACAAGGTAAAATGTTTATATTGTGGACAATTATTATCTGTTAAAAATAAATCAACATCTACGCTTATCCGACATATCAAGCTCAAACATCCTACACAGCCAATGATTAGACACATGGTAGCAGATGAACATCCAGTTGAAGGAGGTAGCTCCGCAGTTTCCCAACAGTTGCCTCAGCCGAGAGAAGCCCCTTCAACTTCCTCTATATCAGGGACAAAACAACCTCAAGCATCAACTTTTTCACGCGCAAGTAAAAATCCAACCATCACTAGTTATTTTCACAAACCTTTGACAATAATTAGCAAACAAAAAGAAATTGATAGACAGCTGATATGCATGATCACAAAAGAATATCATCCTTTCAGCATTGTCGAGGACAAAGAATTTAAGCACCTACTCTATTTATTAAATCCTAATTACAAGCTTCCTACAAGAAAAACAGTTTCAAAATCAATGATTCCAGCTATTTATAATGAAACAATTGACCTGGTCAAACGTCGTTTAGATAGAGCTTTTGCAGTATGTCTAACAACTGATGGTTGGACATCACGAACGAATGACAGTTTTTATAGTGTTACCGCCCATTATATTGCGGAAACGGAGAATAATATTTTGCTGTCTTCAGATTTGTTAGGATGTATATATTATAGAGAGCGACACACTGCTGAAAATATATCCAGTAAGCTTAGAGAACTTATAGATGACTGGCAATTAACAAACAAAGTAGCTGCCATTATATCAGATAATGCAGCAAATATAAAAGCAACTATACGCATCGGTGGCTGGCGATTTTGGGGATGTTTTGCTCATTCTCTAAACTTGGTAACACGGTCAGGTTTAAATGAAATTAAGGAAGTTGTAGATAAGATTAAAAATATATCCAGCTATTTTAAAAGGAGTAGCCATGCATATTCTCAACTCAAAGCTTCTGCAGAACGTATGGACATACCCCCTCTAAAATTAATAAATGATGTAGCAACACGTTGGAACTCTACATATGACATGATAAATAGAGTTTTACAAATGAAAAATGCGATTATATCGACTTTGTCTATTTTAAATACTTCTCGCAGGAATGAACAGGATGAGTCTGAAATTGATCAACTGGACAATGAAGAATGGCTTATTGCAGAGCAGGCGATTAAAGTACTAGACATTTTTTATTTGGTAACAATGGCCATCAGCTCAGAAAAACATGTTAGTGCCTCTCCCATCATATTTTATTACAAACAAATCACCAAACATTTAAATTCTATAAATTTAGATACGATTATGCCTCAAATTGAAAATATGATTAAAAAAACTTAAATTAGAATTAAAAAAACCGCTTTCAGGATCTAGAAGAGAAGAGTTTAATCGCGCAAGCGACTCTCTTGGATCCTAGATTTAAAAAATCTGGGTTTATAGATGAGAGAAAATATAAACGAGCAGTAGAAACGTTATATATCAAGGTAGCTAACACCACCTTATTAGACGAAATGCCAGAAAATGGAAGAGAAGAGAATGTTGATGATGAACAACATGCCCAACATGGCCAGGATACTGCAACCAAAGAAGAAAATCTACTTGAGGGTTTATGGAAGGATTTTGATGTAGAAGTTCGACAACACTTAAAACCTGACAATCCAAGAGCATCGGCTATTATCGAAGTCGATAAGTATTTAGACGAACCCATTTTACCTAGAAAGGATAGCTTAGGGGTACATCAAGACCCTCTTGTCTGGTGGAGTCAAAGGAAACACATATACCCCAAGTTATACCAAATTATGAAAACGCGACTTTGCATTATGGCTACATCTGTCCCGTGCGAGAGAATATTTTCGAAAGCTGGACAGATCGTGAATGAAAATCGCGAAAGATTAAAAACGGATAAAATATCACAAGTAGTTTTTTTAAGTTACAATTCAAATAATAATGATTAGTTCTTTTATATGTCTGATTGATTATTCTGTTTTTTTACTAAAGATAAAAGTACCTACATCGTAGGTACATATGGATATTATGTATCAAGTTTGGAGACTTTATTTTGATAAGTTTTGTTTTGTCAGAGTTTATTATTTTTGTTCTTTTGTTCTGTAATGTATCAAGTTCTAAGAGTTTATTTTGATAAGTTTTGTTTTGTTAGAGTTTATTATTGTTGTTCTTTTGATCTGTAATGTATCAAGTTCTAAAGCCCGCCACAGACTGGCGTATATGTGTGTCATACACGAATGTTATACATGTATGTCATATATATACGCCAGTGCACTGTTGTCCCTAGACGAGGGTGCTTGGGTGTCAAACAAGTAGTTTCATTGTAAACGATGAGTGATGAAGACGAGTTCATGTTTTTATCAGTGGCGTATGCATGCCTGGTAAAAAAAAAGAGAAACAAAAGTAAAAAACAGCATCAAGCACGTACTAAGTGGGTGAAGGAATGGCTTTTAAAGCGACAAGATCTTACACATACAAATTTACTGGAAGAATTACGCTTAGAACCTGATGATTGGAGAAACTATCTGAGAATGGATGAAGACAGCTACGTGATGCTGCTTAAGTTAGTAACGCCACTAATTGAGAAGCAGGACACAATACTGAGACCTGCTATATCACCTCAGGAACGATTAACTGCCACACTTCGCTATCTAGCAACTGGGAGGAATTATGAAGATTTAAAGTTTTCAACAATAATTTCCCCTGAATCATTAGGCAAAATAATTCCAGAGACCTGCAGTGCCATATTTATAAGTTTTAAGGAATGACTATATGAAGGTAAGAAAATAAATTTATTTTAAATGTATGTTTTACAAAATTAAATAATATATTCTGTAAAAAAAACAAAATAAATCACACTTAAAGTATTTCCCTGTCTTAGTAAATTTTAAAGGTATGTTTTACAAAATCAACAGTATATTCCTTGAAAAATAAAAAAAATCTAACTAAAAGTATTTTCCTGCCTACTATATAGTTATAAGTATGAACACATTGTCAATACATAAAGAACCTTGTACATGACTGATTAGTCCTCAATATTTGGTTGATAATTTCCAAAAAATGATGTAATGCTATTTTCTGAATGGGGCTGAGATAAAACTTGTGCTGAACTTGTATTGTTATGTGATTGATAAATATTTGAACGGTACGGTATTGATTGGGTGGATTAACACCGGTGTTGCTGTGATTTGTGGTAGCCTCGGTGGTAGCTAACTGGGAATAAATGTGATTAATTGAGACATCAGATGGCGATGTAACAATCCTGGTGTATTTATCAATATTGCCCATTTCAGCTTCAAACAATAAATCGTTTATAAGTTTTTCTGTATATAGTCTAGTTTCTTTTGATAACGTCCTTAATTTTGCGACAACATTTTTTCCAAAAATATAACATGGATCATCGTTATTCGTTGGCCTAGTACGTAGACTATCTCCAATCATAGTTAATACGTCGTCCTCTTGCTGACCAATTTTCTCATTTCGTTTTTTACATAACCTTTTACTGGCAGTTGATGATGCAGGTGTAGAGTCTCTATCATGTATTGTTGTGCGAGAAGTTGTAGATGAATGCGATATTGGTCTTGGAGATGGAGTTTGAATTATTGAATCAACATCTTGCTCCTCATCTACATCTTGGGTTTCCTGTAATCATAATAATAATGCGTTATTTTTTTTCAGTTTCCGTCGACAGAGGATGAATGGCTACAAATTGCAAGCGACTTTGAAAAAAGATGTAATTTTGTTAATTGCGTAGGAGCAGTTGATGGAAAACACGTGAATATTATTCCGCCTGCTGGAAGTGGTTCATATTTTTACAACTATAAGGGGACTCATAGCTTAGTATTAATGGCAGTAGTAAATGCCAATTTGGAATTTATTATGTGTGATTTTGGAATAAATGGTCGCAGATCTGATATCTGATGGAGGAGTTATTGAATACAGCAGTTTCTACAAAAAACTTAAAAATGGCCAATTACGTTTACCGCCACCAACAAAACCACGAAATAGTAATACATCGTTGCCTTTTGTTTTTATTGCGGATGAAGCGTTTACACTTCGCTCAGATTTCTTAAAACCATTCAGTCGACAAGACCTAAATAACGAAAAAAAAAATTTTAACTATCGATTATCGCGAGCAAGATGTAAGGTGGAAAATGCTTTTGGAATTTTGTCTAATCGATTTAGAATTTTTCACACAAAGATTTCTGTTAATTTAGAAGCAATAGACAAAATAGTTATGGCAACCTGTATATTGCACAATTTTTTAAGACGAAGATATGCTACCGTATATTCGCCAGAAAATAATTTGTACAAAGAAAATATTGATGATGGGACTATTGAATTGGGCATACAATCAACTCATGTTAATGATTTACAACGGGGCCATAACCGTAGGCCGACTAATGAGGCAAAAAAGATAAGGGAGCTGTTTATGAATTACTTCAATAATGAAGGTGCCTTAGAATGGCAACAAAGAATGGTGCATTGATTAAAAATTATTGTATTTAGAAATATTTTTTAAAGAATAATAAACTAAAAGACTGATTATTTGACTTTTACTTACCTCCCCTTCATCCTCATTTTCTTGGTCACTTTTCCGTTCACTTCCCCGATCATCCATATTGTTTTGATTCTTCGATTTTTTTCATTTCTCTTCGAAAACTTCGTCGAATACTATTTATTTTAGCTTTAACGGTATTCTTTGTCGCATTAGGTTCAATCTCTTGCAGTTTTTTCAGTAACACGTTATAAACGGCATCTTTTTTACTCCTGTTCATGTAATCTTTACATTTTGTTCTCCACAAACAAGGAAAACTTTTATAAAGTTCAATGAATTCTGTCATAAAATCTTTTGTAAAACTTCTTAAAACGGACATTTTGGAAGTATTACGACATAAATAAAAATATCAGATACGAGACACTGAACCAAGAAGTTATAATAAGCAAGCGTGAAATTTACCTACACACTGGCAAGCATGTATGCACGTTAATGCGTGCACGTTGATGAATTCAACTACAAACAGAAAACTTCTGCGACGTACATGTATGTAACAATTTGCCCACACACTAGCGAATATCATCGCGCAAACGTGGTTCACATACATGTATGACGCACATGGTTGCTAATTTGTGGGCACCTTAAGAGTTTATTTTGATGATTTTTGTTTTGTTAGAGTTTATTATTTTTGTTCTGTAATGTATTAAGTTCTGAGAGTTTATTTTGATAAGTTTTGTTTTGTCAGAGTTTATTATTTTTGTTCTTTTGTTTTTTAATGTATCAAGTTCTGATAGTTTATTTTGTCAGAGTTTATTATTTGTGTTCTTTTGTTCTGTAATAAACATATATTTTATAGTTCATGTTATATTTCTGAATTATTTTATATGTCGAACAACTTCAAGATTACTAGAGATACAAGGTTGCTTTGTAACTTCTGACCAATCAGCGTGAGTCTTTCAAACCAGGCCGTCACGTAAATAGAAGCATGGCAAAAAAAATTATTTAAATGTCATTACAATTAATGATTTTATTGTATGATAAATACACCAACAGTCTGAAAAATAAATCTTCTATTTTATTTATTTGATATATTTCAATAAGGTGAACCCCAAAAAGCGTTACATAAACAATGTAAAGAAAAACAGGCATAGAACACTAACTACATTATAAAATAGCAACAATAGCTATAAACAAATCAACCCGTTAAAGGAAAAAATACAGGACATTTGCGTCACAGTTCAAAAATATAAATATTATCTATACTGAAACATAATCCTAGTTCTTTTTTAATGTGTAGAAAGAATCATTAAATAAATTTAGTAAATTATAATTAAAATTACATATTTTAAATAGTATATACGTTATTGGACACATATTGCCAGGTCTTAAAACAGGTGAATTAAAATAATACATATTGTCCCTTAGTGTCCTAGAAAGCACATAAAAATCAAGCAATTCACGTAGCTCTGAGCAGTCAATCATATTTTTAACTAATTTATATACAAAAATAAAGCATCTCTATCTCTACCAGATTGTAAGTTCAATATATGAAAAGTTATGTTGTTGGGTATAATCATGGTCATTAAAATTCATACCACAACCAATCTTATAGGAGGCATATCTTAAAATCATATGATTAACAGACTCTATCTTATTAATGAAACCAATTTGAGATGGATTCCATATGATTGAAGCATACATTAAAGCTATATAAAAAAGAAAACTATAATGTCCTGAATCTTTTTAAGATTGGAAAATTATTTAGAAAACATCTTTATGAAATACAATTTTTTGTAGATATAATTATGACATATTCAATATGTGGTTTAAATGATAATGACAACAATGAATCAAAAATATTTCCTTATTGTTTAACTTGCTCGAGTTGAAGAAGATTTTCACCATTAAGTCCATATTTTCAAGCTTTTCAACATGCTCTTCCCTCTCTTTCTTAAGCACCCTCAGAGTTCATTCACCAACTGGTTTTTCAGAAGACAATAGTAAAAATAGCCAAGGAATAGCTATAAAAAAAGATAATTATTACTTAAAATTCAATTCAATATTATTCACTAACCTTATTATTTATGCAATAAGAATAGGGAGAGAATAAGACAGAAGCCGAGTGTGGATTCTTATATGCTATCACTCATCTACCTACATATATTTGCTTATAAAAAAGTATAAGAAACTTTCAAAATTACAAAAACTCCACCTGCATAAAAAGCTAAAAAAACACCAATAATTTAAAAGAGAAAATGAATGTTTATGTACCTACCATTTATAAATGATTGTTAGCACTTAATATCTTTCCTTGGTTGTAGATTTAGCAATCTAGCCTGCATTTTATCCTCATAATCATTTGGCTGGAAATGTCTACTACAAAGCCTTGTGTCCACATCAGGATTCCATTTATCCTTTTTTGCACATTTTCTAACCTATTCTTTTTGGATCTTGGAATCTTTGGGAAATCTAAAGAACATAAGATTTTCCCCCTTTTCTTTTGATTTTTTAGAATTACTTTTGCAGGTAGCCACTCTACAAACGGTTCCGCCTGGCGTATTTAGGACCTATAACAAATTAATCCTTAAATAAATCAAATGTTTAACTCCAAAATATCTACAAACCCACTTTTCCAAATGTAGCACAAAAACTCTGGCAGATATAATGTCTTTTGGCAAGTTTTTATTCTCAAGTTTGTTCAAATAATCACAACTAATAACTACACAAAATTATAAACTGTTTTTTTTTAAATAATAGTCCAACAAAACACCACAAAATGTACAAAAATAAAGAGTTAAAACTCATAAACCTGAACCATCACGGAAACAAAGTCTCTCTTGTGCCACTCCTCTCAAGCAGTTACGTTACGAGGCAACCTGTCAATCTACAATCTACGAATCTACTAACAACTAACCTTGGAATGACTCGGTCGGAATAGTAAAATCGCACAGTGTTAACCATGTGTCACCGTGCAATCCAGTATCCAATCCAACTCGACGGCGGGACGCGCAGCGGCGCTCACGAAACTTGGAACTTAACTTTCCGCCATTTTCTAAAGTGTCAGGGTGTCATTGTGTCACGACAAGTTGTTTCAACACACATGATACCGCGGAAGGTGTCGACACAAATGTGCCGCTCAGCACAGTGTTACCCATGCCTAGATGAAGATGTTCAGCAAGAAGTACAATACAATCGAATATGGACACCAATGGAGGAGAACGAAGAACCGATGGAAGAAAACAGAGAACCGATAGAAGTAAACGAAGAGGAATCTGAGGAGAATTATGGAACGGTACCACAATTTGTTGGAAAGGACAAACAGACAAAGTGGAATAAATTTCCTGGTCCCACTAGCAGGACTAGCAGACATAATTTAGTTCTCAAAGTACCAGGACCTATTGGAATTGCGAAAAATGCTAGAACCATACTAGAATGTTTTTCAATATTTATCGATGACAATATAATTGATACAATCGTCGTATGTACAAACATCTACATCGATTAAGCGCTACTGAGCGAGGGCCGTGGCAAATGCTTGTTCCGGAAGTTATTGTATCCAGTATACAACTTCTTCCCGTCTAAGTGATTGTGCACGCGTTAAGGAATACCTCAGTACCGATTGCCGGGTGGCGGTACAAGTCCGCCAACGGGCCACTTTAGGTCTATTTAATATCACTAACACGTAAAAAGAAGGTGGTAGACAAGGACCAGTCGACCGAGGCGGTACCACCCGCTAGCTTTTCCCAGGGTGTCTTATAAATGTCCGCATGTTTCCACACCTAAGCTATGCAGTCGGTTATCTTCCAAAACAAAGAAATTAATGATGATGGATCCCTCGAGCACTAAGAACTCCGGACGTAAACTCAATCCACTCTCGGAATGTCCGGGTGGAGGGTGGGCTCGAGGGAACAACATCGAAGATAAAATTTGTTTTTCGAACATCTGCGGAATCAACAGCAACATTGATGCTGTTCATCACTACCTGCAATCCAATCGTCCCGCCGTGCTTTTCTTGGCGGAGACAAAAATCTCAGAGACTGCACCGATTAACCATCTCAACTTCCCAAACTATGAGGTGCACTCCAATCTGAGAAAGAACGGGGGAGTTGTGGATTTTGTCCGCATCAGTCTTTCCTGCTCCAGGGATCTTTCTTTGGAATCAGAACAGAAGGATATTCTGTGGCTTCGCCTCAACTCCAAAACATCACCCAAATTTATTTGCTGCCTTTATCGCTCTCCCTCGAACCATAACTGGGATGACCTACTCGAATACCTCGCCGTCCAGATCGACTTCCTGAACATCAATCACCCCGCTTCAGAGGTAGTTCTTCTCGGTGATTTCAATGCCCATAATGTGCTTTGGTTGGGCTCAAATAAGACCGATGCAGGTCGAAGCGTTCGCTCTTACTCAAGGGCTGACCCAGCTGGTGACGAGCCCTACTTTTTTCCCCCGCGTCTCGTCACACGCCAGGAGCCTGCTGGATCTCTTTCTGACCACGCATCCTGTCCCTTACAGCACTGCTGTCCTGTCCCCCCTGGGTAACTCAGATCACGGTGTTGTGGAGGTTAGGTTTCGGTCAGAAGCCGCTGTGGCAGCAGAAACTCGTACAGGCCGCAAAACTTGGCATTACGGACATGCCCACTGGGAGGGGCTCAGAGACTTCTTCTCTAGCTTTCCTTGGAGAGATGTCTGTTTCACTGACGCGGATGCGTTGACTCGATCGTTCTTCGATAACCGAAATTATCCACGTCGGAATGGAGGAATACATCCCTCACACAGTGAAAGGTCCTAAACCAGGGTCCAACGGCTGGTTCAACAAATCGTGTGACACTGCTCGCCAGCAGAAGATCAAGGCACACAGAACCTACTTACAAAACCCCACTATAGAGAACAGACAAGCCGACGTCGAGTCCAGAAACAAATATAACGAAGCGGTTTGCAATGCCAAAAACCAGCATGATATAAAAGTTAGGCACAGGGTAATGTCGCAGCGCAATGGCAGTCGGTCTTTTGGACGCTGACCAAGCAGATTGAAAAGAACTTCTCACACAGTAGCCTTCCACCACTTACATGTCAGGATGGAACTATTGTATTCGACTCGAAGGCCAAGGCGGAAGTCCTAGCCAAGATCTTTGCTGCCAACTCCACCATGGACGTCCCCACCAACGCCCAAGTGCCGTCAATTCAAAAGGTTCCCCACACTAAGCGGGAGGTAGCATTCAGGCATAAGACTGTAAGACGAGTGCTCTTGTCGCTCGACATCAACAAAGCTTCTGGTCCGGAGTTGATTCCTGCCATTGTACTGAAGAGATGTGCAGTGGAGGTTGCTCCAGTTCTTTCGCATCTCTTCCAGATATCTTATGAATCCGGCACCTTCCCAGAAAACTGGAAATTTGCTCATGTACAGCCCATCCCAAAAAAAGGATCTAAGACCGGCCCTTACAACTACAGGCCTATAGCTCTGCTTTCTGTTATAAGTAAAGTGATGGAGAGGTGCATAAATCGCGAGCTTCTGGACTACCTCGAACGTCACAGCTTGATTAGCGACAGGCAGTACGGTTTCCGGCACCAACGATCCACAGGGGACCTCCTAGCTTACGTCACGCAACTATGGAGTAAACTCATCCAGTCTCATGGTGAGGCTCATGTCGTTGCTCTTGACATCACGAAAGCGTTCGATCAGCTGTGGCACGCTGCCCTCTTAAGCAAACTTCCATCCTACGGCCTCCCAGAAAAGCTTTGCAGATAGGTGGCTGACTTTATCTCTGGCCACAAGATATCCGTCGTAATTGTTGGATTCTCCTCTTCATCCCACAACGTCAACGCGGGTGTTCCCCAGGGATCGGTCTTGTCTCCAACACTGTTTCTCTTACATCTCAACGACCTCCTTCCCTGCACGATCAACCCAATCCACAGCTTCGCTGATGACAGCACTCTACATGCAGGAATTCAGAGTGACAAGCCGATCTCTGCCGCTGAGCTGGAAAAAAGAAGACTAGCGACGACTTCTTCTTTGACAAGAGACCTGGAGGCTATCACTGCTTGGGGATGCAACACTCTTGTACAGTTCAATGCTTCCAAAACACAGTACTGTACTTTGACGAACAAAAAGCGTCCTCGCGCTCATACAGTTTCCATGGACGGCCGAGTTTTACCAAAGAGCCATTCATTTCGGCTGGTCGGAGTCCAGATCACCGAGGAACACATCTCGTCAATAGCTGCAGCTGCTGGGAAAAAGCTAGGCTATTTGTTTAGGGCTAAGAAGTACTTTTCTCCGCATGACCTTCTCACTCTATACAAGGCCCAGATAAGGCCTAGCCTCGAGTATTGTTCACACATTTGGGGTGCTGCCGCCCCGAGTACATTGTCCATGCTCGATGATGTCCAGAGGAGGGCGGTCCGACTGATCGATGACTCTTCTCTAATAGACAGTCTCGGGACTCTTTCGCACCGGCGGGCCGTCGGCGATCTAGCTCTTTTCTATCGCTACACCAACGGGCTTTGCTCCTCAGAGCTCTCTTCCATGATGCCGCCGCGCGATGTGCCTGCCAGACAGACCCGCCTGACTTCGGCATCCCATCCTAACCGTGTCAAACTTCGTACATCCAGAACTGGCCGATACGACCGCTCCTTTGTCCCGAGGGTATCTAGATTGTGGAACAATCTACAAGAGGAAGCTTTTCCCAGTTCTACTAACCTAAGGCAGTTCAAAAATCCTACTAACAAAATTTCTTTGGGATCATCATAGCAGCTGCGGTGTTCCGGCATTTAGGCTTCTGCCTGCGCGGCTGTATCGATATAAAAAAAAGATAATATTAAAACAAAGTATACACGCCACAGGGATACAAAAAACACAGAGACCTGTGAGCTGAGAAGTTTTTTGGGTATCCTATACTTGGCGGGAGTACTAAAATCTGGTAAACAGAATATATTGAATCTATGGAACACGGACGGAACTGGAACTGATTTTATATACCTCACAATGTCAGGTTTGATAATATCCATGACAAGACTACCAGGCGTGAGTTAGATAAACTCGCTCCAATAAGGCAGGTTTTTTAAGAATTTGTTCAAAACTGCAAAACACCGTTTACTCCAAGTGTGTTTCTCACATTAGATGAGCAGTTGATTGCATTTAGGGGAGGATGTTCGTTCAGACAATATCTGCCATCAAAACCTGCCAAATATGGGATCAAAATATTGGCGTTGGTAGACCCAAAAACCATGAATACCATAAATATGGAAATATATGCTGGATTGCAACCAGAGGGTCCTTACAAAGTTAGTAATGCAGCGTTTGACGTTGTAAAAAGAATGGTTGAACCCATAAAAGGTACAAATAGAAATATCTCTATGGATAGGTGGCTCGTAAGTATGCCATTGGCCATCGAATTACTCAGAGAAGACAAATTAACCATTATAGTTACAGTTAAGTCGAACAAAAGGGAGCTTCTACCTGAATTTGTGAACACTAGAAATTGCCCTGAAGGAAGCAGTATGTTTGGATTCCAAAAGAATCTGTCTCTGGTTTCGTACGTCCCACGCAAATACAAAAATGTTTTGGCACTCTCAAGTACGCATCATGATGAAGAGACAGATAATTCTACGGGAAAGCCCGCGATCATTATGGAGTACCAAATTTGGAGTGGACATTGTTGATAAGATGTGTTCAGCATATAACGTAAGCAGGAATTCTAAGCGTTGGACATTAGTAATTTTTTTTCACCTGATGAATATGGCTGGGATTAATGCATTGAATTTATATGTCGCGAATAAGAACTTTGAACCGACCGTAAGACGAGACTTTTTGTTGACTTTGTCAAAGGAATTAATTGCACGACAAATGAAAAGACGAATTTACAACAGAAACGTGCCACGTCATATTAAAACTAAAGTGTGCTCACTTTTGAACATCGGAGAATTCCCAGTAGTGAAGGCTAATATACAAATGAAAGCGGGATCATCTGTAAAAGGACGTTGCTGCTTATGTGATCGGAAAGCTGACCGAAAAACCAGAACAGCTTGTTTCAAATGCAAAGGTTTGGTATGCAAGGATCATTATTATGTTATTTGCAAATCATGTTCCACAAAGGAAGATGACCAAGAAATTAGTTCTGAATGATGAGTTCTCATTATTATATTTTTTTTTTAGCTTTAGTCTTTATTATAATTGAAAACTATAATTTGGATTTGTTTATTATGTTAGAAAACGCTGTTTTATTATATTTTCTCTTCTTCTGTTCGATAAAGTTTCAAAAAAAGTATTGTTTTATTTGTTTTAAATACTGTGTTTGTGAGAGCAAGGCAAAAATTCCGAAATGAAAGATTTGGGGTCCAAAATACCCCAGGCGATTAGACTAGTAAAAAAGTGAGGCGCGAGTAGCGGAGTGTTAAGCAATTACTTAAAATATCACTTGTTAAATACTTTAGTTTATTGTCGATGGGGTCACCCGGTAAGTTACATATAAAACAAACTTTCTCCGCACTTTCTTCCACGTTTTCATCACAAACGGCAGCTTCCTCGTGGTCCGACATGTTGCTCTAAACGACGCTCATATGTAACTATAACTGAAAAGAAAACGCAGATGCTACAATGGACGCTACTGAGAGTAGGGATAGACAGATGAGGAGTGACTGTGCAAAAGTCGATAAATCCATTTTCAATAATTTTTAGTTAACCCTTGATATCTCTTTGGAAAAAAGTTCCCCATCGTTTGAAAACACCAAAACTTAACAAAGTTTCATAACCTTAAATCCATTGACCATGCAAAATCCAGTAAATCCAAATCCAGATTGAGCAAAAGTCGATATTTCCATTTTACCGCTAAAGCAAATCCGATTGTCCCGATTATAAAAAACTGCTTTTTGAAGTTCTGAAATTTGGTTTGCCATTAAGAGATGTCACCATAAGTCGTTAATAATAATTAGATATTACACTGCATCATTCTGTCAGTTCACTGCCGTTTCCTTACTTGATGTTCTACTGTGCAGCGTATATGAGTCATTTAGAGGTTGATATTACTGAAAAAGCGGGAAATAGAGGATCAAGAGTCAAAAAAACTAAGATATCTAAAAGTCACGTAGAAAAACAAAGATGGTAAGAAAATGATGAATTGTTAAATTTTTTAGACCAACCTGAAAATATGCAGTTTGAGGTAAATTTGTAATGAAAATAATATTTTGTTCTCTTTCCAGGTACAAAGATAAAGACCCTGGTTTAAAGAACGTTAATAGGCCGTGCAATCACAATGGCAAAAATTTTGGATGCATCAAAGTGAAGTTGAATGATATAAAACAAATTAGAAAACACCTATATGCAACAACGGATAAATCGGAACAGGATATTAAAATAAGCTATAAAATTACCCTTGAACCGGTTGAGAGGAAACGTAGTTTGAAGGCAGTCCCAAAAAATCGTAACTTTAGTACCATGTACTACTTAAATCTGCCTCTGCAAGAAAATTAATAACAGAAAAGTTGTAAAACATCGCAGAGGGGGCGATAGAATCACAGAATAAAAAAGACAAAATTATAGAATTTATTAGTAACCTAAAAGGTCGCGAAAGTCATTATAATCGTGCAAAATCCAAAAGGATTTACCTGCCAGCGCATCTTAGCATAAATAAGTTGCATAAGATATACAGGGTGACTTTGAAGTTGAGTCATTAATTTTCAGATAATGATTGTAGAAGGAAGATAAACCAGAATATGTGTGTAAAAATAAAAAAAAATTAAAAAAAAAAATACCTTGTTTTATAAAGTATCCTCCCGACAAGTATTTCAGTGCGGACCTGTATTTGATCGTGAGGTCCCCTGTGAGATCTTAAGTCACCTGATTCACGAGCCCGTTGTACTACATTAACAAAGGCACGAGGGGTTGGTTGCACTCGATTGGGAAACCGATCCGCATAAACATGTGCCATTTTTTATTTCGTTTGAGCCACGCAACAGAAACTATTCACACGCTAACCGACAGATACTGACTGTATGTATAACTGAACTGAATAAAACACTTAATTGCAAAAACGTCGTTCCAAATTCTTTCGCTTTTTTGTTTCCGATGCGATGAACCGGTAAGGCGGATTATATCCGTTGTTGCCAAACACGAGTACATGATATTATTATTGAGACAGGGCGGTACTCAAACTTCCAAAGGGCTATAACTTTGTTACTTTAATTTTACCAGAAAAATGGTAAAGGAAAAAAACATTTCTTTTGATCAGATCTACTCACTGTTAAAATAAATGACTCAACTTCGAAGTCACCCTGTATAATTCACAGTGTATTGAGCCAGGAGATCCTTGCAGTCATACCATGATGGACTTATTTTTAGAACCAAATTTAATATTGGCTTTTCTTCGCCAGCATCAGACTCTTGTGCACTTTGTAATAGACTAAAGCACAAAATCAAAATAGAGAAGGATGTCAAGAAAAAAAGCGATTTAATGATAGAACTACGCGTTCACAAAAAACGGGCCAACACTTTCTATGAATTGATGAGATAAAACGTACCAGAGTCCTTATTCTTATATGCAGTAAGTTCAACCCTTGCCACGAACCCCTATCAACAACGCCTTTTACGCTCAACAAATAAGTTTCTATGTTCTCAGCTATGTTGATTTACAATCTAAAAGTCCAACGTTTTATATCTGGACTGAAGACTTGGCTGGCAGGGGCTCAACAGAAGTTTTATCTGCTCTTTTTGCACACCTGAATAGTCTAAATTTAAATCATATAAGAGTTCTTAGGCTTTTTTTGCGATGGCTGCGGAGGTCAAAATAAAAATTCCCATGTGGTGCACACGTTATACTATTGGCTAAGACATCATTCGCCCACAGAATTGATATAAATTCGCCTGACATTTCCTGCGAGAGGGCATAGTTTTTTGCCAGCAGACAGAGTATTTGGAAGGGTAGAGAAAGAACTGAGGAAACATCCTACTATTAAGAAGAAGGAAGGATATGAACAACTATATTCTGAGTTTGGATCTCTAGAAATCCTTGGAACAGATTGGCTACTGTATGATGTGAAAAAATTGGGAAATTGTTTAAAGAAAGTTGACTATTTCTGATATGAAAATTATAGTTCTGCGTAAAAATTCTTCAAGTACTATTTCTGTGACATGCTTCCAAAATTTTAGATACGAATGTACTTCTGAGGTGCCAAAATATTTACTAAAAAAGGGAAAGAAGGAATCACAGCTAAAATTGGATTCTATTGAACTTGGCCGTTCCATTGAAGAAAAAAAATCTTTAAGAAATTTGCTACTACAGGAATTTGGAGAGGGATGGAAACTTGATGAAGACCTGAGTTGGTATAAGGATATACTATTATCTCAGAACGAAACAGTACTGGAAGAAGAGTGAGCAAGAAGAGGTGTGCGATTGCTTAGAAGAAGACATCGGACTTCATATTTATAATTTTTTTCTTATTTTTGTATTTACCATTCTATAAACGTGTTTTAATGTCGAAAACAGTTTTTATTTAACTTAAACCCCTTAAATAATGTTTAACTGAAAACTAAATTATAATTAGTAGAATATTTTGGGCAAAACTCAATAAATCCAATTCCTGTTGAACAAAAGTCGATAAATACAAATTTGAAATATAAATATAAACAAATTTGAAATATAAATATAAACAATAACTTTTCAATGATATTGTTATTATAATGTCAGAAAATAATCAAAAGAGTCCAATAAAATACAGAATAAATAAATATCTGAGACAGCTTTAATATTTTTCTCAATGCTGGTTTTTCACTGATTTCTCAAAACAAGATCTTATGGATTTATCGACTTTTGGATGGTCACTCCTCAGATATTATGGTTCATAGTATTCTGCGCCTCCGGTCCAGAATGAGCACCATTTGCTACCGCTATTGTCAATAGTATAAGGAATGCAGGTATACGAGGGCAGTTTTGAGAGTTTCAAATTTTATATATTTCATCTGGTGGTATATTTGGACACATGCCGTATAGCTGCACTTATTTAAATATTTGTAAATTTTCCATAATCTTTACTGTTTATTATTGTATAAAATGTGTATAATTTTATTATTTTTAAATTTTAAAAAATATTATGAATGTTTGGCTACATTTATTACCCTCGAACCGGCGAATGTGTACGGCATTATATTATAACTAATTTATACAAATGTAGAAAGCAAAGCGGACAGATGCCGTGTAAAAATAAATCATCTTTATAATACGAATAATTTCCATAGGTGAAAATTATTGTTTTAATGTACGTGGAACTATTCTTTTTATCCGGCATATATTTTTTCTTGATGATTATTTCAAGTTTTAATGAAGTATGTTAATGCCGTACAAAATCATTTCACCATAAAATTACAATTTTTGGGGGAAGACTATTTTCCCCGTGTAGCCATATATTCCACGAAAAATGTACGGCATTATAAAAATTGTCGTTAATTTACCAAATACTATTAAAATTATTTAATTTGAACTTGTATCAATTCACCACCATTATACTATATAAGGGTAGGGGGTTGCGATCCAAGTTTTCTCACCTCTGTACCAGCAGATATGTACGGCGTTGGTAAATATTAAATGTAAAAAATTACAGAAAGGTAACTGTAGCAATGCCGTACGTTAATTAATTAATTTTTCCGCATAGAAAATTTCCTGAAAATTAAAAATCTTTTATGGCTTCCGGCACCATTATTTCCGTACGGCACTAACTGCATCGTGATTATTTTGTTGGCATCTGTGATACTAAAGAAAGCCGTAAAAAAACATTTAGTCTTTTCCGACCCCTTCTGGACAGAAAATTCAATTTTTCCCTGTACTTACATGTACCGCTCTCAAGTGACGGCATAGAGCTAGAAGTTATTTTTTCATTTAGCATTATCGTTCCGAGTAGGTTTCCTGCTGTATCACATGACCCCCCCATTTTTGCCCACAGCTCCCGGTCAACCAAAAAATTCTAGTAGTGGACTATTTTCATTTATGGGTTTTACTGGATCTTTGACCTGCTTTTCTAAACGGCTACGTTTGTTATCATCAACATATATATTTTTTTCGGTATTGATTCAGCATTTCTGGCTGCACGTTTGATTTTACACTTGTAGCACGGGATGCTTGAAGTATCTTCGCTGACAATAGTGTGTTTGGCTGTGAAATGGAACGCGGAAGATTTGTACCAATTTCGTAATCATAATATTCGCACGTCTTCTCTCTGGCTTTGTGTATTATTATAAGCCTCCGCTACACTACTCGCAAAGTTGCTTCGTCGAAGTATTTGTCGAAGTTGGCTGAAGTACGTGGCTATACACTCGTTCAACTTGGCGTGGGATATTTAATGATTCAAATATGGGGAGAAGTCTTAAAAATTGAACGTTTGGAATGCCCAAGGATCGGTCCATTACCGAAAATGGCGAATCTTTACCACATGTAATAGTGGGAAACGAAGCATTCCCTTGTAAAACTTATTTAATGAGACCTTATTCAGGACGTGGATTGTCACAAGATAGAAGGATTTTCAATTGTCGTCTCTCAAGAGCTCGTAGAGTC